GTGTTAATATGATAGAGAGAACTTTTCTCTACATTTTCACATATCAAGAATAGTTCTGTACAATAATTCTATATAGTTTCTTTGTAATAAGTGAAATACATGCATTGTAGTCCATTTACTCCGATATAGATGGAGTAAATTGATATATATATCATGATGTAAGTTGCCTATATAATAAACTTTAATTAATTAATGAAAATATAATAGAAATAAAAAACAGATAAGTACTTTTTACAATTAGTAAAGATTATATCTTTTAAAATTATTTTGTAATTATCAAATAGCAAAATGTTATTACAGAAAAAATAAATATAAATTATTTTAATTCTAGCTTATTTTAATATAAATATATATAAAATATAAAGTATTTTGTCAGAGTTAGTAAATTACAACTGAATATTCACATGCGTGGTACAATAATACGTCACTTAGATTTACTTTTTCAAGCCGAAGAGCTTTAATACGAAATTATGAAACGCTCAAAAATTAACTTACCTTCTCTTGAATCAGATTTTTCTATTTTTTTTATCGTAATACTTGTTTGATTTAAATTTACAAAACTTAGAAAAAAATATCTCTATGTTAAAAAAAAGATATTTTACGGTAACTCTTTTCCATTATTTCTTTATAGATACATAAACGAAACCAATTTGTGATAACGAGCTCCGGTCTCTCCTATTTTTTAACAACCGAGCAATCGTGTTTTCTTCTCGAGACTATCGCAAATAAAAGCGAAAGAGATCATGTCGTGCTTAAAATTAAATATCTTATACGAGATAATACAAATTTTATTGTATTTATCTTTTGTAAACAATCGATATCTATTTATGATAATTTTTTATAGCAATATTTGCAAAGATATAGATAGAATGTTTAATTAGACTTAATCCTTTGTTTAATTCCAGTTCATAAATTGCATTCTTCATTTTAATATAAAGAGAATAATAATAGATTTGATCTTACCTTTATTACATAAAGAGTAATTAAGAAGACATTATCAACGCATCTTCTCTTATGCCATTTTCTCACTTGCTCTCGCATCTAATGCAATTCTGCTACCTCAATGTACCTTTAACATCTACGCGACTGTATTTACAAAATATAGTAGCAGAAGAACGTTCGAGATTTACAACCCAGATCTACTTTGCAGTGATATGGGTGCAACGAGGTATTTTATTTCGTTCTATCCTCATTCCGCGAACGATTCACGTCTACTGTATAACAAAAAGGACCGTATATTAAGAGAAAGCTAAATTTAAAATCAGCCGCATATTCGCATTAGAGAAGATTTTCAAGATTTCTAGATCGACAGTCCATGTAGTTTAAGGATGTTATCAAGTACATGGTCTCTGCAAATGTGATTGGAATTGAAAATTTATATTTTCCGCATAAAAATGAATGTTATATGTGAAACAGTTCATATTCATATTTAACAATACAATTTTATAATTTAAATGAAAATTTTTCATTTTATCTTAATTATTAAAAAAAAAAACACGTCTACTTTATTAAAATAATTTTTAATGGAAGTTCTAAATTGTCCTCAAACTTTTTGTATTACTTTTAAATACGATTCAGAAACGTGTAATTTTTTTCATTTTATTGATGTAATATTACGTTCTTAATTAATTCCAAATTGTTCTGCAATTCTGAATGTCAGTAAACGTCTTTGATTTTCTGATTTTTAGTTTGTTATGGTAATTTGATATAATAATAAATTCTAAAACTCGTTAGAGTCAATATAGACGATACCAATTATTCCGAGCATGATTCCACATTGACAAGATTTACTTATTGATCTATAATTTTCGTGAACTTATGGTTTTCACAAATCTTAGATGCTTTTCAGCGAGGTCACAGTTAGACACAGTGAATCATTACATCCTTGTTATTTGTCTATGTTAAACAAAGATGAAACGATTCGCCTGTGTTACTCAATGTCTGACTGTGTCCTTGCTGGGAGGCACCCTTAGGCTCGATTTTACAATATATGGTTACCTAAAGATAAGATTAAAGGTAACCAAGAAATTCATGAATGAATTTCACCGATGAATCTGTTGGTAACTTTTAATCTTTAGGTAACCATATATTGTGAAAACGTATCTTAGTTTGAACCAATTGTAATTGAGGATCGAATTACGCTGCAGTTAAATGTAGAGTCATTATTTTCACGTTGTCTATTGATGCGCAATAATGCGTTTGTCCTCGTTTTTGTTCAGAAAACGTACAATAACCTGATTGTGGGTGGACGTATATGCTCACTCTACTATACTTTGTCCGTAATACTCGGGCACTGCGTAGAGTCGGAATATTGTCATCTATCGATCGCGCTGTTGAGTGAAAATGGAGCTAAATACGATCGATCAAAGTCAAAGTCTCTGACTGCAACCCGCACGTGTGCGCACGCTGCGTACTATAGGTGACTCTGGTTACTTTACTCCTTTGACATTTTTTACAAACGTAACTATCTTTGATCTGCGATATGCTTTCCATCCTTCTTTATTATTAAGATTCAACCTGCTCGAAACACATTCAAAGGGGAATTCTACCGAGAAAACGTAACCACGTCTGATTATATCAATTATGCGGTAGAAAAAAAAACAAGGCGAGTTTATTTGGCTGAAGAAGATTGCTATGTGAGTTTTTTCAAAGTTTCAAAATATCAATATAATAACAACAATACGTTGAAGGAAAAGTGATTCGTTCGTTTCGTTTTTTTTCTATTTGAGCCACTCGAGAATCAAAATGATCGTTATTTCTTCATTAAGTAGATCTGTTCATGTTGTTTGAAATCCACAAAAATTCTTGCACTTAAAAAAAAGATAAATACCTATACATTCGAATGTTGAAGAGAGAGAATACGAAGATGCTGAGTGCAAAGAGTGCTGAGAGACAAGCAACATAAACAGATCTTATCCCATGCAGCATACTAATGTCAAATCAATATACCTATCAGAAACGTTGAATTGCAATATTGTGAGTATTAATCAACGTCGCGTAATGTAGGTTCAATGTTGAAAAGATATTCACACTTCAACATTTAACATTGTAACGTCTCAGCAACGTTCTTTCAACGTTCTGTATGGGAATGTTGTTTCAACGTTGCAATAATATTAGCAATCAGTGTAAAAAACTCAACACAGATTCAACATTGAAAACCATTCACATTTCAATATTCAACATTGCAACGTCTCAGCAACATTCTTTCAACGTTCTGTAATTGTAAGGAGCATGTAAGAATGGATAACAAATTTCACGCGACAAGTACACGCGTACATCAACGGTGGGATTTGCATGTAGAACAAGCAGCCCTTCCAACGTGCTGCAGTTGTGTGGTTCTAACGTTATTGTATGTAGTGCTTTCCAGCGACACAGTGTGACACAGTGATCATGTCCTCTTTGTTTAACATTAGTAAACAACAAGGATGTAATGATTCATTGTGTTACACTGTGTCTCTTGCTTTGCTGAAAAGCACTTATAATGTGGCAAGGTAAAAATTCTATATGTTTTCGCGTTTTTTAAATCACTTCTATCAAATCAATCGACATTAAATTTTGTATCCAGATTTAATGTCGACTAATTTGATGGAAGTGATTTAAAAAAAAATTAATTAAATGGCCACTCACGTGGGTAGTCCATGCGCTTGCTGGGTCGTTTTGATTTTCGGACCAAGCTGTCAAGTCGTTTCGCATGTCGAAGGTCACCTGAAAACCCGGAGTGCTCGTGTGGACGTAATCTCGAAAGGGCAATTCGTCGTCACGCGATGGTCAGCTGGCTTTTTCTTTTCTTAATCGAGCGGTCGACTACTGCAAGTCTACCGCGCAGTTCACTATCTTTCGCACTAAGGTTGATAGTATTACATCGTACCGTGATCTGCTGTGTCTAAAAAGCGAAGGTGTTCCAATAAATGAAATCACTTGGATACACAAGTAATTATAAGCGATTCACTTTTGCTTTCGTAACATTAATTATATTGTTTGTTATATTTTCTCCTTTGGCAACCCGTGCGACATTTTGCGCGAGAAGATAGAGTGATGTATATATATATATTTATATTATATCAACAGAACTAATATACTATCGAAAAAAAAACGTCATTCTGCTTCATTTATTTATCTCGAATCGGTATACATTTGCATATTCACTGTGTGTCACCCGCCATTCTCAAACATGATATTTTGCAAGTTCAAATGACGTGTGAATCATTATTCATCCTTGTATTGATAGGAAGAACATATATAGTGTATGTACATACAGAGTGTCCCATGAAAAGTTGAAAAATATATATCAATGAGATTGACGATATTTGATATTTTTATAAATATTTAATCTTTAAAGGATGAGAGACCGATTTTATCGGCTTTTAATAATTTAAGTGAATTTAATGTGCGCGCATAGCATATATAAACGAACATTTTCAGTTTTTTACCACTTTCGGTGGTATAAAATATTTATATAAAAATATTTTATTTTTTCTATTCCTTACAAACGTTTAAAAATGATAGCTAATTAGTTTTTATCAGTTTTTTATAGGACACCTTGTATATCTGGATTTACCAGTCGAAAGTTTCAATCTGCGTGTGTGTGTATATACAATATTTTTATCATTAAATTATTATAGTTAAATACATATTATACAACGTTAGTAAATTTTTAAAAACAATCTCTTTCTCTCTCTTTTTCTCTGCATATATATTAGAGTAAACAATATATTATTACAAGTGTACAGTATATTTTCGCAAAAATCTTGATATTATGCATTTTTTTCATTTTTCAATAACTTGCATTTACATCATTGGAAGACATAAATATATATGTTGTATGTGTACTTTTCTTTTTCGAGATCATTAATCGACTTGAGTCGTAATTGAAATGTAATCGAAAATCGGTACAACTGATTGATTTTTCGGGAAGAAACGTTTGGATTGATATATTACATAACATTTCTGGTTATGTATAATATACATATAATTATGATTATTTTCTATTCATGTTACAGGAACAAGCCGAAGACTTTCGCTTTCGATCACTGCTTTTATTCCCTGGATCCTGGAGCGGACAATTTTGCGAGTCAAGAGATTGTTTTCGATGCCCTGGGTCGTGATATTTTGGACAATGCATTTCAGGGTTACAACGCCTGTATATTTGCCTACGGACAAACTGGTATGGTATCAATTGTAACAGTTACATTTTGTAACAATTGCTTTGGTTTAGCTGTTGTTCGCGGTACAATTCAGGCCTTTAAAGCGTTGTTGCAAAGCGCGTGTTGGAAAGGATGCGGTAATTAATGAGCAGACCATGAACGGACGCGTAACACGGTAAATAATGCAATTAATCGGTTCGGTCGTCATCGATAAACGGCTACGGCTCATTTTCTGCGGGGCAAGACATTGACTCAAAGGCAGAACGAGACATCGCGAATAATACTAACGCGAACTTTCTGCGTTAATCTATATACGATATGGATGTATATACATAAGACGAGGAGAATAAAACAGTGCAACATGAAAAAAAAATGAGAAATGCGCAATGTTATTTCTAAATACCTTCACGTTTCTTATCAGCACTGAGAAATGTGTATAGCTAATCATTCAGATCTAATCGGTTGTTGTTTTTTTTTTAATTTTGTTTTTGCGTTTGTAAGAGATTGCATTTGTAGATCATTTATATATATCAACTCACTTAAGATGTTATCAAATTTTGAAGGAATATATGTCTCTTATTAAATGTTAATTTTTATGATAAAACATAAATGCAAATTCTTTTTATAGTAAAACGTAAACGTATATTCCAAGTATCACGTTTATAAATTAAGTATCAGCAAATAAAAAAATGCAATGAAAGAAAGTAGAGTAATAAAATGATGCAATTTCAAAATAAAATTTGAATTCAATGTTCGAAGTTTAAGTTTTTTGTTTTTTTCTTGTTTGGCATCCTTCAATACCATCCACACACAATCAGATCAGATTTACCGAAGTTGAACTTCGAAAATTGAATTATTTTATTTTGTTCAGAATTGTAATGTTCGAAAATGCACTGTCTTACCTTATAAAAAATTCTTAACGAATATATACATATATACATATATAAAATTTTTAAAATATTTTTAGAATAACACTTCAAAAGTTATTTATAAATAGGCAAATATTGTAAATAATTAAGTTTAAAATAATTAAAAGTGGCAAAGAGAATTTAACGTCTTTCGCACGCATGGCTTGTTCTTACAGGTTCCGGGAAGTCTTATACGATGATGGGCAGTGGTGACAACAAAGGCATAATACCACGGTTATGTGACAATCTCTTTGATATGATAGCGAAGCAACAAAGTTCCGAGCTCTCGTACAAAGTCGAGGTCTCATACATGGAGATCTACAATGAAAAAGTACACGATCTTTTAGATCCGAAGCCAAACAAGCAATCGCTCAAAGTCAGAGAGCACAATGTCTTGGGGCCGTACGTGGACGGGCTAAGTCAACTAGCGGTTACTTCTTTCCAGGTGATTGCTTCTCCTTTTTCTTGCTATCAATAATTTATATATCTATGGATCATTTTTCTGAATCCAAACCGTTTACTGACGAAACTTTCAATTTCAACTCGATTGAATTCTAGGACATCGACAATCTCATGGCGGAGGGCAACAAGTCGCGAACAGTCGCGGCGACAAATATGAATTCCGAAAGCTCCCGTTCACATGCTGTATTTTCGGTAATTCTCACGCAGACTCTAACGGACTCGAAAAGCGGAGTCAGCGGAGAAAAAGTCTCGCGAATGAGCTTGGTGGATTTAGCTGGGAGCGAAAGGGCTGTGAAAACTGGAGCAGTGGGTGATAGACTTAAAGAAGGAAGCAATATTAACAAGTAAATTTACTTTTTTTTTAACTTTGTAGAAATTACCTTTAGTGTAAACATGGCAGATATATAATAAGCGTTGATTTATATATATATAAAAAGATAATTGCCGATAATTATAGGTCTTTAACGACGTTGGGTCTAGTCATTTCAAAGTTGGCGGATCAAAATTCCGGCAGCAACAAGAAGAAGGACAATTTCGTACCCTATAGAGATTCTGTCCTTACGTGGCTTTTGAAGGTACATTAGCTTTCTCTGACAGTGTACTTTAAGATATGCTCTCATACAAATATTCATCAATATTTTTAGGATAATCTTGGTGGCAATAGTAAAACTGTCATGGTAGCCACAATATCACCGGCTGCCGATAATTACGAGGAAACGCTATCAACTCTTCGATATGCTGATAGAGCGAAGAGGATAGTCAATCATGCTGTAGTTAATGAAGATCCAAATGCTAGAATTATTCGCGAACTCAGACAAGAAGTTGAAACCTTAAAGGAAATGTTGTTACATGCCACAGTAAGAGAACCTTCCTTATTTTATTTTATTTATCTATAATAATATAGTTACTTGTGTTAAAATAATCATGCATAAACGCTACAATTTGATTTCAATCACGCTCAGGGATCGATTGTTGGCCAACAACGCACAGACATTACAGAAAAACTATCAGAATCGGAACGATTGATGAAGGAAATGTCACAGACGTGGGAAGAAAAGCTTGTGAAAACCGAGAGGCTGCAACACGAGAGGCAACAAGCTCTGGAAAAGATGGGAATAAGCGTACAAGCGTCTGGTATTCAAGTAGAAAAGAACAAATACTATCTGGTTAATTTGAATGATGATCCAAGTTTGAACGAGTTATTGGTTTATTATCTCAAGGTATGTACGTGTCATTATACATGTTGCTTAGTGATTAAATTTCTCCATTTGTATCACTTATCTTTGTATCGCATCTCTGTGTTTCAGGAAAGGACACTCGTAGGCGGACGTTCAGCCAAAAGGGAACAAGATATTCAATTGCACGGTTTGGGTATTTTACCGGAACATTGCGTTATCACGATAGAAGAATCAGGCCTGTATATGACACCGTTAAATGGTGCTCGATGTTTCGTCAACGGTACACAAGTTGTAAACAAGACTCTGCTACAACATGGCGATAGAATCGTTTGGGGAAATCATCATTTCTTCAGAGTTAACTGTCCAAGAAGTGCTACAGGTTCGATTCGATTTAATATATTTATTTCAAGATAAAGCTTATAATGACATATTTCACAAAATAATTGGGAGAAATGCACGTTATATTGTCTGTATCATTCTTCTGTCTACAGCAATCAATAGCGAACCGCAAACTCCTGCTCAAAACATCGACTACAATTTTGCCAGAGAAGAGCTTATGCTTAACGAACTGTCTAACGATCCGATTCAAAGAGCTATAGCGAGACTAGAAAAGCAACACGAAGAAGATAAGCAGGTATATATTGCTTTAATAAGTATCATAATTTTTCATATTGTACTTACTCATTACGCGCATGTTCCAAAGGTTGCGCTCGAGAAGCAGAGGCAGGAGTATGAACGACAGTTTCAACAATTGCGCAATATACTATCTCCGTCTACGCCGTATTCGCCTTATGTACCGTACGATCCTCTAAGAGGTAGCCAAAGTGGAAAACTCCCGGCTTGCACACCAACGACGCAAATGCGCGTTGAAAAGTGGGCTCAGGAACGAGACGAAATGTTCAAGCGCAGTTTGGGCCAATTAAAGACAGATATCCTAAAAGCTAATGCATTGGTACAAGAAGCTAATGTTCTAGCGGAAGAAATGGGCAAACAGACGAAATTTAGCGTCACCCTGCAGATTCCTCCGAATAATCTAAGTCCGAATAGGAAGGTAAAACAATAAAAGATTGTTTTATGCCGTTTTTATATTGTGTCTTTGTCTTCATGTAAAATGTTTTAAACTTATCAGTTTACAAATTTATTTGATTTATTATGATAATTACATATAATTAGTCACTTATACGTGTAAGTTTTTTACGTTTTTCACTTAATATATTTCTAATTTAATCATTATACACATTATATTTTTATCTGAATTTTTTCCTAATTTTATTTTTCTTTTATATTTCACATTTTGTTTTTTTATGTTTTGTTAATTTATGTATTTTTTGTTTATTTTTTCGCACTCTTCGATATGTAGAGTGTATTCTTTCAGCGGGGCGCGTTTGTCAGTGAGCCCGCAATTTTAGTGAAGAGGACGAATATGGGAAGTCAAGTTTGGTCCATGGAAAAGCTAGAAAATAAATTAGTTGATATGCGAGACATGTATGAGGAAAGAAAAGATCCTCACAATTGTCAACGATTACCTGCGGTTAAGGTACATACTTTTTATCTTTAAAATGTCTATATATTACTTTAACATTGTGTACGAAATTATTTTCTTATAGGATGAAGTACCAGGAAAAACACAAGACCCATTTTATGAATCCCAAGAAAATCACAATCTTATCGGAGTTGCAAATATTTTCTTAGAAGTATTATTCCATGACGTACGATTAGATTATCATACTCCGATTATTAGTCAGCAAGGAGAAGTCGCTGGTCGATTACAGGTCGAAATAAGTCGCATATCCGGGCAATTTCCTCAAGATCGGATTTGCGAGGCTGCTTCGGAGTCTTCCGCGGATTCGACGTCCTCCGAAGCGGAGGATTATTCCGGAGGGTCTAGCCATATTACCTGTCGTGTGACGATAAAGCAGGCCACTGGATTACCACTCTCGTTAAGTCATTTTGTATTTTGTCAATACATGTTTTGGAATCATCCAGAACCGATAGTGGTTCCGCCTATGATAAACGCGGAGCTGCCGAATTCGAATTGCATCACTGGTCAGAGGGATTCCTTGACATTTAAGTTTGATGATACAAAAGATTTTACTGTACCCATTACGGAAGAATTTATGGAACATGCCGCTGGTAAGAATTTATTGTGCTTTTATCTATACATTATTTTTTAATAAATAGTAATAGAGCACATCTCTTGTATTATTATATTATTCATGCTTGTTTATCGTATTTTCTTGTAGAAGGAGCGTTAAGTATAGAAGTATGGGGCCATCGCAGTGCAGGTTTTTCACGTAGTAAACCTGGATGGGAAGTGGAACAGCAACAATTAGCGAAAGCTAGATCACTCGCAGACCGATGGTCTGAATTAACGCGAAAAATTGAATTATGGGTAGAGATACAAGAACTGAATGAACAGGGAGAATACTCGCCCGTTGAAGTTGCAGTAAAACAAGACACATGTACAGGTGAGAGGAACGATTGTAATATAATATACTACAAATTTGGATCAAATTCAATTTGTTTATTTATATTTGATTTTTGATCGAATATAGGAATTCTCTTATTTATAGAGTTTTTGACTGTAGCGAGTTTGCATCGATATGGATTGGATTAATGCTCTACTATAGGTTGACGTTATATGCTCTACCAATAGTAGAGCATACAACATCATTAATTCGACCCATATTGATGTAAACTCGCTACAATCAAAAAACGTTATTAATTAGATTTTAATATATATTCTTTGAAAAGTATTTTTTAATTATTATTAATTTTTAAGTAATTATATCTTTTCATTCCTTTTTATAGGTGGTATTTATCAACTTCGACAAGGCCAACAACGTCGAATACAAGTTCGAGTGAAACCAGTACAAAATTCCGGAACTTTACCGATCATCTGTCAATCGATATTAAACATAGCCGTTGGGAGTGTTTCAGTGCGAAACCGATTGCAAATTCCATTAGATAGTTATCAAGACGAGGATTTGAGTATATTGAGAGACAAGTGGAGCGATGCTCTAATGAGAAGACGACAATATCTTGATCAACAAATTCAGAAACTTATCAATAAGCAAGGTAACGAAATTATTTCTCAGCGATAAAAGTTTTAATTAATATTTTATATATGTACAGTCTATTAATTTGTCACTTTGTTTTCTTTGTACATTCCTACATTCATTTCTTATGTTTACAGATAAGACGGAACAAGATATGGAACGAGAACAAAGTCTTGTGGATCAATGGGTCAGTCTCACAGAGGAACGGAACGCTGTTCTGGTTCCCGCGGCGGGTTCAGGTATTCCCGGTGCTCCTGCCGACTGGACTCCTCCTGCAGGGATGGAGCCACATATTCCTGTATTATTTCTTGATCTCAATGGTATTGTACAAAAAATATTTTAATATCTATGTTATCCATGTGTGTTCTGTTTATTAATGCATTTACTTTGACTAAATATTATATAGCCGATGATCTCTCAACACATCAGTCGGGAGAGGAAGTATCAGTGACAGGATTAAATTCAATCCTACCTAAAGAACATGGTAACAAATTCTATAATCTGCCTATTATTCGACATTTAGAGAAAGATGTATGTGCCATTGCCGCTTGGGATTCTAGTATACACGACAACGTACATCTCAATAGAGTAACTGATACCGGTAATTATCCTTTACGTTTTTCCAAGAAATTGGTGATTTGTTACTAACATGCCGCACGTTTTTAGCGAATGAAAGATTAATCTTGAAAACTACCGTTCGTCTGTCACATCCAGCACCAATGGATCTTGTGTTGCGTAAAAGATTAGCTTTAAACATATACAAAAGGCAAAGCATTACAGATAGAATCTTCAAGAGAATTGTTCGTAATGATTGCTTAACGCAAACTGGTGTCACTTACGAGGTAGTCTCAAACATACCAAAGGCAAGCGAAGAGCTGGAAGATCGTGAGAGTTTGGCACAGATTGCTGCTAGCGGGGAAGATAATAGTTTATGTGATGGAGAAACCTACATAGGTAGGTTACAAAATTAAATTAACGATTATGGAAGTGCTTTTTAAAAAGTATCATCGTATTAATCTTTCCTATTATTTATATAGAAAAATATACTCGTGGTGTATCCGCGGTTGAAAGTATATTAACATTAGATCGATTACGACAAAGTGTTGCTATAAAAGAATTGTTGCAAGCACAGGGACAACCACTGATGCGTAAGACTGCAAGTGTTCCGAACTTCTCTCAGGTATTATTGTCTTCTAGTATTATGAACAAAAAACTTTTATTCGCATTTATTTTATATATAATCATTTTCATCATTGCGAATAAAAGTTTTTTTTTCATAATTAATTCTATATATATAATTCTATAATTTGTTTTTCTGGTTATTTATGAATTTTTTGTCATACTAATATTTCTGTTTTTGAAAATTCCTTTTTTTCTATGTTACCAAAATGCATCCTCCATCGAAACTTTATTTAAAATTTTATTTCAACTAAAATGTTCCATCTTACTTCGCATATAATTTTTAATGCACTTTTCATTCAATAAAATGTATCAGATTTCTCAAATGAAACGATTTTCATGGGTTTTTACAGATTATGAGATTCGATATGTCAATGGATTCATTAAATGTTACTCGTTCGGAAAGTGTGACAGATCTCAATATGGAAAATGGTCTTCCGCATCCGCGACGTGCATCGACAGGTCATACAAGAAATGATGAAAACTTTATATCTGTACCGCCAAAGCCATTTGGAATTGGTAAGCATATTTTCTCTATTCAAAATATTTTTAATGTACAAATAACATCTAGTTATAGACGTATATTCAATAATTTCTCAATTGTTTGTGTGTATGTATATTTTATATATATATATATATATATAATGTACACACACACGCGCGCGCGCACGCACATGCGCACACAGACACACATATACACGACAATAGCACGTATACATATATTACTATTGTCAAATTTAAAACGTTTTTTCATTATTTATAAAAGGTTAAAAATCGGTAAAAATATTCCCAGTCAGTAAAATGTTGGCAATTGGTCTACAAATTGCTGGCAAATTTGGTCAAAATATTTAGCAAATTGTCAACAAAAAGCGAGCAAAGCTTTGGTAGATTTTGATTTTAGTCAGTTCTTGCCGTCAATTTGCTATTAGATTGTCAGGAAGCTTTGCATGATTTTGTAAATTTTCATGCACGATTTTGCCAATTCGTTTTCATGTTTTAACGACTGTGTTATTACCTGCCACCAATTTGCGGACATTATTGCGAAATATAATAGAATTTGTATCAAAATTTTGTCAATAAAAGAACCTCGCACTAATTATGAAAATTGAGTCCTGATGAAAAGAGCTGGTTTTTATATAATGTATGTAATGTGAACAGAAGATGTCATAAATAGACATAAGCTCAATAATGAATAGTTTTTAAGTTATGATGATTATGATCAAAGGTGCTTTGGAGTATAAGTTTTTACATTTTTGATACACCGTAATTAAAAAATCCATTATTAAACTTTATGTTTATAACATTTTTTTATTCACATTATAAGCTACAACATATAGGAAAACCAACTCATTTCACTGGAATTAATTTTATAAATAATTAATGTGGAGTTCTTTGTATTAAGCATTAAAAAATTTATTTTTAACAGACTTGGCTGACTGGGGTTATTTATGAAATCATAGAAAATAAAAATAGCGTGATATATACAAGATCTCTTCATTCATATAGACATACATTCATTCATGCAATCATTCATGATCATTCATAATATATATAAATAATCCATTTCATGTCAAGCATGAGATATATTTTCAAGATATATGCTACATTTAATACATTAAGAGATATATTTTGAACATAAATGGTTTTTGTGAAAATAATCTCTGCTGGATTTTTGAAATGGTCTACGCCTGATAGAAAATCGATAGGTTTTAATCAAATTTTATTTTAAATCTCGACTATTTATATGCAAATTCGTCGTATATTGAATGCAATATTTAGTTCGCTTTAAGTCACCATTAAATTCTTAAATTAATGGCTTTATTAAATTTAATAGCATCGTGTTTAGGGAGATTTTAGTCTTTAGATTAAGTTTTCATTTAATTGTAAGTTAGAGCCACACTTTTTCTTCACTGCCTTAATCTGCTTCATCGAAATTTATTCAATGAAAAATTAACACTTTGTTTCTGAAATGTGGCTTATGCAATGTTTTCGATATTTCACTTTCGCTATGACGATTACTTTACATTCCATCCTAGTTTTGATCGTCCCAAGCTCCATTGTATCAACTCTTCGTTCGGTATAGAACCTGTTGATTTTGGATAATAAAAGTGCGTTCTGTTTATTTCTTTTTAATTTAAATTCATACCATTCATCATTAGTATGTACCCTTTATATGTGTCTACGATTTCTCTTCTCTTATGGCTGTAGATTATAAAATATAAAATATCAAATTGTATAAAAAAATATCAAATTGTGAAACTTGACAAAACGTGCACATAAATGTCGCGTCGAGCATATGAAAGATTAACACTACAAAAGGGTACTGTTTCCATCATCTAAGTTAATTGACAATCTCATCATTTGAAAATATTTAGAAATTTCAATTTCATTAGTAGTAATTATAGTACACTACATTGTGGAATTTTATATTATAATTCCAGCTTTTCTCTGTCATATTGTTACGTCATTAAGCTATGTTCAACTTGATCAATTCAATTTAATGCAAATTTCACTGTAAATATTTTCCCCAATACTAAAATAAAAATATAAATAATTTCAATATAATCACTTGATAACAAAAAGAGTTGAGCATGGTAAAACATATTTTCTCAGATTTGCCCTAATATTAGCAGCTACATTTAAGTGCGCTCTACCACTTATTACAATAAAATAAAACACTTTAACAAACTTTAAATAAGAAACCCTACAACAAAATTAATGAACTAATTAATGTATGCAACTAATCTGTTCCTCTGTTTAACACTACGTCTACTACTTCTACAACTATTTCGGCCCACGCAAGGCTCCATTCTGAACTCAGGTAAAATGGAGTCTTGATTTGATATTTAATTGATGCCACACAGGCAATGACAATTAGTACATATGTTTCGTGAGTGGTTGAGTCTGTCTGTATTTTTGTTTCAAAGTTTGCCTTAGTACATCAAAGATGTTATTCGCGATAGTAATATTCAGAACAGGAATGCGTTTTAATAATCAGTATATGTTCTCTTGTAAGCGTCATTTATTAGGCTCAGTTAGCTCAAAAGAAGTTTAACATCATATCGGGGAATTTAGAAATTGCTAATCTTGTTTAGCTTAAATTGAATGTGATTTCATTATGTGAACGTTATATTTCAGTATATTTAGTTTGCATGCATAGAATGTATTTCTTGTGTGCCTAGCATATTAGCAAGTTTATTCATTAAACTGTTTACTTCTCTTATTTATTTTATAACTATTTGATATATATTGTTCATGGTTAATACCAGTATAAAACAATACCAATGATCATTTGTGTGTGTGTGTGTGTGTGTGTGTGTGTGTGTGTATGTGTGCGTTGGATGTGAGTCCATGTGTGCGTGTACTATACTCACAGTCATGCAACATACGCGCACACATAGACATACATACACGCACACACGCACGCACGCGTGTGCACACACAACCACCCATCCACTCTGTCGTCGCACCGTTTATACCAGAATCATCGCATAGAAATCATTTTCATATCCATATATCTATTTTCATAATTTGCAATAAGATGTATGATGTTCTTAAAACCTCGCTTTTACAAATAATCGGATCAAATAAGATGATTTCTATAATCCTTAATGATTTGTCAAATGCACACTAACATATATATTTGTTTGCATTTAACAAATCAAGTAAAGTAATAAAAAAGGTTGAATTATTGCATTATATACGTGAAAATTGTTTGCATTTAACAAATCAAGTAAAGTAATAAAAAAGGTTGAATTATTGCATTATATACGTGAAAATTGTTTGCATTTAACAAATCAAGTAAAGTAATAAAAAAGGTTGAACTATTGCATTATATATGTGAAAATTGCAATGTTTCGATCTTTATATTTGTGAATGTGCCATTGAGCGATACTCTAGATAGAGTGTAGAAAATTTATTGTAACTTATATGTGTATATAAATATTTTCTATAGTTAATATATGTTAAATGAGGATTATTCTCTCTATGCTTAAACATGATGTGTATATACACATTTCGTTTAATTATATTTCATTACAATGTTGTATGTATTGTAGCGGGATTAGATTATTAATTAACAAATCTATATATAAAAAGACAGAATGAACCTCCAGTAAGTAATATAGGAGAATAGGGGAAATCAATATAAAGTAAAAATTAATATTTTGTAGTTTTTTAATTAAATCACAGAATAATAGGATAAATATAAGCTATCTTCCCGTTGTGTTTCTTATAAGACTCAGTTTAAAGTCAAGGATACATTTCTATAAATGTGAAAATGATCGTAAAAAAATATGATGAAAAACAGGAAAAATAATATGTATCGCATTGTATCGTACAAATCGGTAGAGCCGTATGATAAAATCATAGTTTAATATTACATAACAATAGCAATATATTTGAATTTCAAGCAAGATAACTGTTATGATATTAATATAACAAAGCATGTCATTATCTTCGACTTTAAACTTACCTCCTTTGAAAACATGAAAATTCATTATGTACATCATCGAATTATATAATGTTTATATTATAAATATGTATTTATTGTTTATTTATCGTAAAGATGGTGATATACAATATACATATACATGATATATTTCGAACATGTACATTTTGAATTTATAAATGCAATGGCGAGTTATTAAAATTGTTTCCGAAGTGGAGTATATTATATCATCATGAAAGAAAAGAAAAAATAAGACTCACACAAGATGCTGTGTTATAAACATTGATGTTTCAATTAATGGTATTGTGACATGATATACACGCATAATATGGAACTTCCGTATAGAATGCGCGTTAGATAATATACGTTATTTGTCTACTTGTCTCACCATCTAGTGTCTGTGGCCTGCAGGCATGATTTGTCAGTACATAAGTTCATAAAGCTGATATGAAGCTCGCCATTATGGAGAAAGTAACGTTGACTAGTCGAATGAAGGGAAAAGAAGTATAATCAGTGCATCTATCTCCTTTCAGCGAGACCAACTTTCCTGAATCTGAACCTGAATCTCAACTCATTGACACGTCTTCAACAATCTACCTCTGCCAAGTGTAGGTGACACTCGTCGTTGATCGTCCTTTCAAACTTTATTCTTTAATTAAGTTTAAACGTTGAAAAAAAGTTAGATTAGAATGACAACAATTGAAAGAGAATTCTAATGTAATATAGTTTGAAAGGATGAACCACTCGGTCAACATGTTTGTAGTTTGGGTTTTTTGTTTCAACCATTAAAATTAGTGTAGTATACCGATAGTATTTGATAGTATTGAATTTTGTTTTATATTTTAAGTGTGTTTTATTTTAGATGGTTTGTGATCACAATCACCATTTGGATTGTTAGTACTGCACCTAAAGTGCAGTATGTATGTAATGTGTACACACGTACATATATGTATTATATACATATACATATATATGTATATGTATATATACAATATATGTATACGTTAAATATTTATTACTTACAATTATTCCCTGATCATTGTAATTTATTTCTTTATTTCAGATTATATATTCTACGCTTTTACTGTCTAGATTATATGATCTAAATTCAAAACTATTAACGATCCGTTTCAAACTTAAAAATATTCATACATAAATATATATAATTGACAAATGAATAATATCAATAAATAAGCGTGGAATATATAAAATTTTTTTATTATTTTTAGGAAAAGCATGATCCTTCGCATTTAAATGTACATCAGAACCGACCTGGCACCTTTTGATATATATATAACGTTTCTGTAAATCCATCAGCATCCAATAATATCTGTTAAAATAAGGAAAGCGAGTAAAAATAATTAATCTGTAAAGTTAATGACAAGATAAAGTTATTTGAATGGCCAGATCGGCCCTGATGCTTTGTATATAACAAAAGATTTTTATAGTTCGTCATGTATTATCAATTTCCTGTTGGTAGCATCTCCGAACATGGTTAGCAGTAAACTGGGTCCTCGTATGACCACATTACACGAAGAAACTTCAAATATGGGAAATCAAGCGTGTACTCCTATCAATGATGACGATGAGGAGAAGAGCGACGCCGATTATTCTGAATATGAGGCATATCAGGTAGTGTATATTCGAAATATTAAAGATATATTTATTTAAAAACAAAATTGAATCACAATAAGAATAATGTGTTTATAAATTATGATATACTTGAATTATTCAGAATCAATTAGAATCGATCATTGTGTAATAATGTACATTGTAATTACGCTATCGAATCAAAGCTATATTACATGTACTTGCGCACAGGCTCCACCGAAACCGGTAAAGCCACTAACTTCTTCACGCACGTTGGATTCTCTGGTCGAACTACAATCGACGAAGATCAATACGCCAAGTATGAGTAGTAGCGGGTACGGTTCTCAGGCTGTTTCCACGACAAACCTGACGTCGGAAGATTCCATTTCTATCAAGTCCATCAGTGTGGATGAGACTCCAGACCTCGAATATCGTAATCTTCTCGATAGTAAGAAACCTGAGAAAATGGACAGTTCCCTCGTCGAGGAAACGCCCGAGGAGTACTTGAGCGAAGTAAACTCTACATTGGATAACTTGAACATCTCACAAAGCGCTCGCACAGAAGGTCAGTTAAGTCAAATGCAAAACAGTCACTTTAGATATCGATATTATTCTGTTGTAAATACTTTTTATCTTATAGAACATACTAAAAAAAATTTGGAAGAAATAGGAACATATATAGATACCGATATCGATAGTCCAGTTTCTTCTACAAGGAGTGAAAGCGAAACCAACAGCAACATGTTTCACGTCGAAACTCAAAGAAAAAGTACACCTAATCAAATTCTCAGTGATAGAAAAAACGAGATGGAAATCAGTCAGATGTCCAATTCGGGAGACGATAGTCCCATGGAGGGAACTTCAATCGTACATACCAAACTGCCACCTGGCAAGGTGAGGTATTTTATATTTTTTATACTTAAGAAAGACAGAGAGAGGTCGTTATTCGAAAAATGGTCATGAAAATTCCAAAAAATTTTCTCGTGGATTATGCAATGATTCATGTTTAATTAATTAGGTCGTGCGAAGAAGAAAGACTTCTAATGGTTCAGGAAGGCCTACCAGTTCGCAGCATAGAGCTTCATTTCCTATGGTCCGTCCACAACTTTCTGAGAGTAAGGCTGCAGTACATTTGGAGCAAACGCTACAACCTACTATGCCGTATGAAAATGGCGACAATAGCTCTTCGGAGAGAATTGACGGTAGTGCTAGTTTAAATAATTAGATTTGGCAATTTTTTGCATATTTTTTAACATTACGTTTATTTTTTGAGAAATTATACACTATATGATTCTTCTTTTTGTATTACATTTTAAAAAGATTTCTTTTGCAGCGGATGACGTTAGCGATAAAAGTTCAGCGTTTGGTTCAAGGCACGATTTAACTAGAGTGGAAACTCCCCTACCAGACTGGATCGTCGTTGGAGAATCAGTTTTGGTTCGCCCTTATAGTTATTCCGGAGTTATAGCATACGTTGGTCCTACAGAGTTTGCATCGGGAATCTGGATAGGAGTTGAACTCGATGCCCCGACTGGTACAATCTCTCTTTCTTTCTCTCTGAAATTTTGTCTAGATTGTAAACATGGCTATGTTTCACTGTTATAGGCAAAAACGATGGTGCTGTCAATGGCCATAGGTATTTCACATGTCGACCCAAATGTGGTATATTCGTTAAAATGGATAAGTTAATTCAAGATAGACGAGGAAGAGCGCTTAGAAGTTACACCAAACAAGAATCGACACCAGCACCATCTACATCAATGCGCAGGAGTATTAGCAAGGGTATTTCAAATTTCAATTTCAAAACAATTATTTTATTGTATCGACTTGTTTTATTGTATTGACACGTTTACTGTTAAAATGATATTTATTGGAACTATTGTTTTTATTGGAAATATTGTCTTTTAGGCGAAGGATTACATTCCTTGCACCGAAGTCGCAGTCGAGGGGAAGGCCTCTCTACTACAGGTACACGTTCTTTTCCACGCGGCAAGTAAACGGATCACACACTGCTTCACCATTACTTCGTGTTAATAAAAGCCACAACATAAATATACTAATTGCTACATGCCTATATGATATATGTAGCAGCAATGTTTCAGTCCTTTAGACATTAGGGCAGCTATTGATTATTGAAATTACTTATACAGTAATATTTCAAATATTAAATCATTAATGTGTACTACACACGAAGCATGGGATATTTTCAACTCGTCATGTCCTATGAGCAGCGTATCCACTTCGCTACTTGACTAGGGGATAGGGCATAATTGTCGCCATGTATCGAAAATCAGTTGCGACGTTTATTGACTAACGAGCATTCCACAAGTTTACTTTAATGACTGGTATTACGAACCATTTATATTTTATGCCAGAGGAAGGCAATATATCTTGCGATTTAATTGTACATTCTAAACTAATCAAAAGTCAGCAGAACATCTTTCCTTTATTCTTGATATGTCACTCTAAAATACACAATAACTACAATTTGATGTACATATTCCATCTAATAATATTTTGTATTTGTGAAATCGGTCTGTGTCGACACAATAGACGCGATAATAATAATATACCGATTAAATCTTGGCGTTTTTACAAATCATTGGACGATATACTTTCCAAAATTACCATATGGTAATTTATAGGCCGGAAAAGTGCCCAATGAAAGGACAAATGTCGGAAAGCATTTTGCATACATATATATTTTACCGTTATGTAGATTATTTAAAGATTTTATATGTATACAATTGTTTCGTATATTGTATTTTTTTAGCGCGATTCGTTAAGTTCCTTTTTATTGTAACATACATCTCTTGTCACCGTTATCCCATCACGTGAACATGACACACCTTATTTATATATATTACATTCTAACTGCATATTGCATTTTTGGAGATTGCAAACTGATTCTTAAATGTCCTTATTAATTGATTTAAGAGCAAATTGCAAATCCAAAGATACAATGACTACTAGAGTTGCAATATTAAGTTCATAGATTTAAGTAGAAACTAAATAAATGAGCTTGTTTCATTGTATCAGTTGCATATAATGCTATATTCATCCAGATTTTTTATAACTTGGGCTATTTCACGTTATTTCCCTTTATTTACGCACAGCATAAACATTGAAGCGAATGATTAATATATATTTCATATCCTGTAACATGATTTGCTCATTAATGAATTTTTCCCACTTTGAATATTAAATTTGGTTTCATTTAAAAAAACCATTACATCGCGTCTTGCGTGAAATCAAACGGCGGAAACTAATTAATTCATGAAATATAGATTGTGCCGTAAAAGAATATGAAAAAGACGAAAAGTAAGCAATTAACATTTAAGATAACTCATACATTTGCCCAAATTGTGAAAACAGCTCCTGTCCAATTAGAACAATACTTATATTACCAATAATGAGTATATTACTGTATGTGTAATATTTATGGATAATATAATAATAATAATAATAATAATAATAATAATAATAATAATAATAATAATAATCGCTGCTGCGCAATGTTTCCTTATCGTGGCAGACAATTTCTTCGGTTTTTATGTACGTAAATAACAATTACCTCTGCGAAAAGGAAACCTTACAATCAGCAGCACCTGTCCATTTTTAGTAATCAAGATTGTTGAGAAAGAAACAAATTAAGAGTCCATGTGTCACAGTGATACTACATGCCTGCCCGGCATAACGTTAATAAATTTTACAATCTTTAATCATTACGCGTCTTCGGTTTTTGGTATAATGCAATTGACACTTGCATTCCTTTCGACGAATTGAAACTCGTATATATCATCTATAAAGCAAGATTTACTCTTGCTCTTCCTATTTTACGGATGCGGACAGTGTGAGACATATACTTAAGAGTGATTCAAAATCTGAAAAAATCATACGCAATTTCCACTGTATATTTTAGTATGTTATCAATCAATTCTTGAGTAGTGTTTTTTTTAACCCTTTATAAGGCGATTATATTTAGAATAATGTTATTTGTTTCTACAACACAACACGCCGAGAGACAGCGCAAAAGAAAATATAAAATAGAAAACAGAAGGAAACGTAACGGAGAGCACTGACGACAATCTCGGAACAAAGATTTTTTTTTTTTAATTACAGCCTTACAAGTGATTGATGTTTAAGTATTATTTTCTATCGTCGGGAAAAAACAATGTTTCACAAGCTACAGTGGAGTGTTTAGCATTGAGAGAGCTTACACAGCCTATTCCATCCCGCAATAAGACAATGTCCATTTTTACCGTTACAATTGTCTAAAGATAATCGTTCACGCTATACTTTGTACCCTAAATGATTCTAGAATATATTTTCGACCAATCGGTTTTACGAACTTTTCTAGAAGACTTCCGAATTTAACATTATCCGCGATCGCTGCGAATGACACGCGCTCACGGTCCAACTTCAAGTTCCAAGGGTCGCACGGGAGAGTCCATGATTTAAACCGAGTCTCCTATCTATGGCTGTGAAACCAACAGATATTTTGCTGTTCACGCTGCTCCCTCGTTTTTATCATCGTGTTCATATGCGACGAACGAGAATCGAATTACACGCTCGTTCTTGTCTCTCCATTAAAATATGAATATTATGAAACTGTGAAACCAAAACGTCTCTCGAACTTTTACTGATTAATTACGTAAACTGTTCGTCGACGGAATCATTGAATGGAAGTGCGCCTTTAACGAAGGGTACAGCTCGAGCAGTTTGTTTTCGATCGCGCTTTTCCGTGACGCCAAATACACGAACAAAAAATATGTAAAAGCACCGCGCGCATCGAGAAAATTTAAGAATCGCATCGACAAGATCATTTTGCATTAAGGAGGATGTAAATTTTTATAACAAAGAGAATATTATTGATACCAATGTGTTAAAATATCGATATTTTATATCTATTATTTTATCTAATACAATTTTATTTCAGTACTCAAAGTTTCTTAATATTAGCCTCGTTAGTAAGTAAATACTTTTTGGCCAATAATATTAATATTATTAATATTATTGTTAGCTTGACTAAATACGTTTAATTCGTGATGATTTTTTAATTCAAGTATTTATGTATTTAGGCTAAATATATGCGAGTCAACAATATCTTGTAGTTTAAAACATGTTATTTGAATCAAATATTTACTTGACAGTGACCGCTACATTTAATTAAATCAATTAATATTTTTCAATGTACGTCACGTTTAAATGCACGATTATGTTTTGTCATAAAATTCTAAGTAATATTTAATTAAACATTTTATCTTCGTTGCTAGAGTGATCCATTCCTCGAAACTTTCTTGTCGATCGCGTTTGTCAGCGGCCACGCTTCATTATCGTCAATTAAATAAAAAAGCGCGAGAGCACGTATAATATTGAATTTGGAACTCTTCTAAACCATGTCGCAGTGAGGCCGTTCGAACGGTCATGCTGATGTAAAACCATATGTATATGTACAACGTAAGCTTCGAGAGATTGGCGGATTATATTTTAATGTAATGTATAAAAAAGAAAAAGGAAAGAGAAAGAGAAAGAGAGAGAGAGAGAGAGAGAGAGGAAAATAACAGATAAAGTATGCGTGCGAAGAAAAAGTGACAAAACCCTCGTATTCGTCCTTGTACGTTTATCGATATTTATCGATAATGTAAAAAAAAAAAAAAATTAGCAAAGTGAGCACGTGCTTCGTCTCTCCTCCTCATTTATTCTAGCCACGTTAAGTAGATATTGTATTTATCACGACGACACTATACACACTGTACGTTAGGTTCACGACAGCTTTCACGCATTTAACTTGATGTAATTAGGACTGTCAACTTGCAATGTCAAATACGGCTGTCATTCTCATTGTTTGAAAACGTAAGGGTTCACTCGCTAGAGACAACATATTTAACACGTATTGCATCCGTTTGATCCATCTCGACTTTATACGCTAGTACTTAGTTTGTAGACCTCCGTGGACAAGCTCATCTTCCCTTTGGAGAAAGTCATTTTTCGAGTTAGTCATTCATCGAACAGATCGATCAACGATACGTTAGACGTGTGCCGTGGACGGTTTTTCTTTCGAGTCGTTGATACACATCACGAAGGTATATTGTAATATACATACTGTGTTCTACGTTTCGAATAGCTCGACGTTGACGTCTGAATAACTAAAGCTCTGATCCATTGAAACGAGGAATCAGCCTTTTATGGTGTGTCGCGGGGATCAAACGGATACTTGGACACTTTACACCTGCCTGTGAATCTTCGAATTGATTCTGTTTCTATCTACTCCGCCAAATGTTTGCATACCGGGAGAAAAAGAGTGAAATCAAAGTGTGAAATTATACACGGCGAAAGATGTGACGTAGATAGTTTCAGTCGATCGACGATTTTATGCTGTAAGTGTAAAGCTTCTGCTGGAGATAACGAATGGTACAGTCGATATTAGATAATAAGGATTTCGGAAATTCTCTGTAGATCGATAGGATGCGCTGTGTCGTTTGATCTGGTTGTAGATAACCGGAAATAGGAAAGCCTATTTTTGCATCGTGTGATTAAAGACAAAAAAAAAAGGTATCTAGCCGGTTTGTATTCACCGAATATGCATTTGGATGAGGTGTTATATAAAGCTCCAAACTATACAAAAGTAACTTGTAGGGGATGTTGACTCTGTCAATGATTCGTATAACAATGATTCATATAACATTAAAGTTTAATCACAAATATGCTTACGGATATGCTTATTATCTATTTCTTCTTACGAGCCCCTGCAGCCTTTCTGCGGGTAAATTATCATTTCGTATCATTTTATTATTTTGACTGATTCTCGCTAGATAAGGACCTCTTACAATTTATATTGCATAACGTACAAATTAGAACTGCTCTAAAATCATCTTAAATAATGAATTAGTCATTGTGTTATACAATACGAGAAACGATCTCGATTAATTCTATTGAATCTGGCATACACAGGTATTCACGATATAATGGAAGATCGTCCTCGAGTATCACAGTTGTATAAGTATAATCGTAAAAATCTACTTGTACTCTCATGTATATTTGATAAATAGCGCAATAATAATTTGCCGACGT